GGGACCGGGGAGAACCCGGGGGGACACCGGGGGAGGGACACGAGCGGGGAATCCCGGGGGGGAGGGCAGCGCCACGAGGGGGTTCCCCTGGATCGAGGGGGGGTCTCAGGGAGCACCCCCGGCCCGGGAGGCGCCCGAGGCACCGAGGGTCCCCCAGAGCGGCCGGGGGTCTCCGAACGTGTCCCATGGGGGGGGTCCCGATCCCCTTTTCCTCTGATCCCCGCGACCGAGGACCCCAAAATTGCGACACCCGCAAAGGGACAGGATTGAGACATTCAACGGGAGGGGGACCAGGACCCCAAAAAAAGGGGATGGGGACCCTGAGGGGACACAATCCTCTCCCCGAGGGGGGTGGGATTTGGATTCCCGGGGGGATAATTCCACCCTCCCCCCAGAGGACGAGACCGCCCGGGGGGGAGGGGGGGGGGGTCAGCGCTCCAGGATTGAGACCCCCACCCCTGGGAACGGCAGCAGGACCCCCAGGGGGACACGGCCGAGCCCCCAAGGTGACGGGGTCAGGTCCCCACGGGGGGGCCCCGCTGGCCCCCCCTTGTCCCTCCCAGCCCGGCCGGCAGCCAGGGTATAAAGTTACCCGCGACCTTCCCGGGGGGCACCGCCAGCCCCAAAATGGAGGAGAAATCCCCCAAAATCCCAGGTACGAGGGACGGGGGGGGGAATTTTTTTTTTTTTTGGGGGGGGTGCGACAGCGACAGTGACCGCGGGGACACTGAGCGGGGGCGGGGGCAGGGACATGGCGGCGACATCGGAGCCGCTGAGGAGGACCCCCCCCCCCCGAAAAAAAATATAATGTGGGTGCTCTTTTTGCACCCCTCGAGTGAGACTGGGGTGTGAAGGGGGGTGGGATTTGAGGGGGGGCAACACAGATTTGCCACGAGGGGGAAAATCTCCCAGCAACACACCCTTAGGGGGAGATCTCCCCCTTCAGGGCAGGTTTTTCTACCCCAAAATTGGGGTGCAGGAGGGGTTTGGGGGTGCAAAGGCAAGTGGGGAGTTCTGGGGGGGCGAAATTTGAGGTAGGGGGGACACAGATTTGCGATAAAGGTGAACCCTCCCCCCCAAATCCACCCCTAGGTGTTCTCAGAGCAGGGATTTCCCTTTTCAGGGCAGGTTTTCCTACCCCAAAATTGGGGTGCAGAAGGATTTGGGGGTGCAAAGGCAATTGGGGAGGTCTGGGGGGGGGGTCCCTCCGCAGTGTTCAACGTGGGGGAGTACCGCAGGGAAGCCGTGCCCAACTACAAGAATTACGAGTTTTTCCGCCACGATAACCCCGAGGGGGTGGAAATCCGCAGGTTGGGGGGGGTAACTTAAATGGAAAAGGCTCCAAAGCAATCATGCTTCCCAATATCCATTGGGTTTTGATTGTTTAATTTTTAAGATCAAAATTCTTCAACAGTTTTGTGGAGAGTTTGTGGGGTTTTTTGGGGGGGTTTTGGGGATTTTTTGGAGTATTTTGAGGTTTTTTTCTTTTAATTTTTTGGGGGGAGGTTGGGGTTTTTTGGTTTTTTCTTTGGTTGGTTTTTTTGGGGGGGGGTTGCGGTTTTTTTGGGGTACATTTACGAGGTCAGAGCCGAGACAGCTGCACCCCCAAACCCCAAATTCGCAGGCACTGCGCTCTGGCCGCGCTGAAGGACGTCCGCACCTACCTGAGCTCTGGGGAGGGGCAGGTGGCGGTAAGAGACCCCCCCCCCCAAAAAAAAATTAACCATTTCCCCCCAAAATATTCTGGGGGGGCTCAAATTTGTCCCAAAATTCCCCCCCCCCGAGGTGTTTGATGCCACCAACACGACGCGGGAGCGGCGGGAGGTGATCCTGCAGTTCGCCAAGGAAAACGGGTACAAGGTGGGATTGGGGGGGGTCTGAGCGATTTTGGGGGGTCGTGAGGAATTTGGGAGGGGTCTTGAGGAATTTTGGGGGAGTCGTGAGGAATTTTGGGGGGGTTTGAGGAATTTGGGGGGGTTGTGAGGAATTTTGGGGAGGTTCTGAGGAATTTTGGGGGATTGTGAGGAATTTAGGGGATCTTGAGGAATTTTTGGGGGGTCGTGAGGAATTTTGGGGGATTTTCCAGAGATTTTGGGGCACTTTCCAGAAATTTTGAGCGATTTGGGTTTTGAGGAATTTGGGGGAGTCGTGAGGAATTCTGGGGGGGGCTTGAATTTTGGAGCGGTCTTGAGGAATTTTGGGGGTTCTCAAGGAATTTGGGAGGTCTTGAGAAATTTGGGGGGCCGTGAGAAATTTTGGGGGAGTCGTTAGAAATTTGGGGGGTTTTGAGGAATTTTGGGGGGTGACATTGATTTGGGGGTGTGACAACATGAGGGGGTGGTGACACTGATTTGGGGGTGTCACAGCATGGAGAGGTGACAGTTTTGGGGTGTCACAGCATGGGGAAGGGGTGGTGGCACCGTTTTGGGGGTGTCCCAGCATGGGGGTGTCACCAGTCCCCCCCTTGTCCCAGGTTCTGTTTGTGGAGTCCATCTGTGACGACCCCAGGATCATCGAGGAGAACATCAAGGTGAGACCCCGGGGGGGCCGTGACAAAAGGTGACAACGGGGACCTGGAGGTGACAGTTGGGGCTTGGAAGTGACAACAGGGACATGGAGGTGACAACTGAGGCCTGGAGGTGACAACAGGGACCCAGAAATGACAACACGGGCCTGGAGGTGACAATTGAGGCCTGGAGGTGACAACAGGGACTCAGAAATGACAACTGGGGCCTGGAGGTGACAACAGGGACCCAGAAATGACAACACGGGCCTGGAGGTGACAATTGAGGCCTGGAGGTGACAGCTGAGACCTGAAGGTGACAACAAGGACCTGGAAGTAACAGCTGGGGCGGGGAGGTGCCAACAGGGACATGGAGGTGAGAGCTGGGGGTGGGAGGTGACAACAGGGACCTGGAGGTGACAACTGGGGCCTGGAGGTGACAACAGGGACCCAGAAATGACAACACAGGCCTGGAGGTGACAACTGAGGCCTGGAGGTGACAATTTGGGGCTTGGAAGTGACAACTGGGACCTGGAGGTGACAACGGGGACATGGAAATGACAGCTGGGGCTGGGAGGTGACAATTGAAGCTTAAAGATGACAGGTGGGACCTTGAGGTGACAACAGGGACCCGAAGGTGACAACGGGGATCTGGAAGTGACAGCTGGGGCTGGGAGGTGACAACGGGGACCTGGAGCTGACAAAAAGGACCTGGAGGTGACAACAGGGGCTGGGAGGTGACAACTGGGACATGGAGGTGACAGCTGAGACCTGGAGGTGACAACAGGGACATGGAAGTAACAGCTGGGGCTGGGAGTTGACAGCAGGGTCTGGGAGGTGACAACAGAGACCTGGAGGTGACAACTGAGACGTGGAGGTGAAAACAGTGGCCTGGAGGTGACAGCTGGGGCCTGGAGGTGACAACAGTGGCCTGGAGGTGACAGCTGGGGCCTGGAGGTGACAACAGTGGCCTGGAGGTGACAGCGGGGGCTGGGGGGGTGGGTAAGCCGCGTGTGCCCCCCCAAAGCCGCGCCGCCCCCGATTCCCAGCAAGTGAAGCTGAGCAGCCCCGACTACAAGGGCCGTGGGCAGGACGAGGCCGTGGCCGATTTCCTGAAGCGCATCGAGTGCTACAAAGCCACCTACGAGCCCCTGGACGACGAGCTGGACAGGTGACCCCCACCCCACGTCCCC